CCTGTCTACTTTACGTAAATTATTTTACTAAAAATTAGTTTATAGATATACATATATATATATATATATATATATATATATAAGATCTTAATAATAGCCTCAATTGGCCTTTATTAAACTGGGAAACGAGTCCATGTGTTAACATTGAATAAAGCATCACCTCAGTGGGAACACATGGATACCGTCCACTTAAAAGCAAAAGAAAACAAAAAAAACGTCCCCTTCCCCTCCATACTCGTTATTTCTCGGGAGCCGTTTGGCTGCTGAAGTAGCCCTCGACGGCATCCTTTGGATTTGGTTTGATCGTCTCCGATCCGGGCTTCCAATTCGCCGGGCACACCTCGCCGTGCTTCTCGACGAACTGGAAGGCCTTCACGAGGCGCAGCACCTCATCCACGTTGCGGCCGACGGAGTTGTCGTTCACGGTGAACTGCCGGAGGTTGCCTTTGGGGTCGATAATGAAAACGCCGCGGTAGGCGATCCCCTCATCCTCTTTGAGCACGCCGTAGTCTGTCATGATGGACTTCGTTTTATCCGCGAGGATGGGGAAAGTGACCGCGCCGAGGCCGCCTTTGCTTCGCTCCGTGTTCACCCACGCGAGGTGGGAGTACTCGCTATCCATGCTGCACGCGATCACCCGGCAGCCGATCTCCTTGAACGTTTCGTATGAATCGGAGAACTGGCAGATTTCCGTCGGGCAAACGAAGGTGAAGTCCATCGGGTAGAAGAAGAGCACCACCCACTTCCCCTTGTAGGAGCTCAGGCTGACTTTCTTGAAGGTGCCGTTGGGCATTAACGCGACCTCGTTGAACTCGGGCGCGGGGTGGTTGAGCTTCGCAATACCGATCGACATGTTTGGTATAGATTTTTTTTCGAAGGTTGTGGTGGTTGGTTTGGGTTTGTAGTTTGGGGGTTTAATAATAGATGGAAAATATTAGCTGTTGTCATTTGGTTAATTATGGAAATGATTTTAAAGAGAAAAAAAAAGGGAGGAAAAAAAAGAAGAAGATATAACACTGTTTTTGAGATCCAACAACGGCTAGAGGAAGGAGGTCCCCTTGGTTACCGTGCCTCCCCACCAATTGAGTAATTTTAGAAATGATCCTCACAACGCATATGAGAAAATCAATACGTCTCCAATCGGAAACCAAAGAGGAAAAACATCAACACCCTGTATATATATATATATATACATATACATATATAGGTATAGGTATAGATATTCCCGTTTGAGTGAAAAGTCATCGTGTACAGAATATTCCCAGACCGCTATGTTCCAAGCCGTTCGCAGGGTGGCGTCTTTTGCATCGACCCCCTTCCTTCCTCCTCCCGTAGTTCGTCAAAGACGATGACGTGTTTCGCCCGCATCGACGCGCGTAGCGCACGCGCCTCCGCGTGGCGGCCGAGCTGCAGCATCACGCGCAACAATGTATTCAAAAACTGCCCATTCCCCCGCACCCGAAGTGCACGCATCTCCGCAAGGAGAAAATCCAGCCGTTCATTCGCCACGTTCCTCCACTTCAGGGTTTCTCGAGCCGGGGGATCCCTTCTTCTTCGCCCCCCCGTCTCCTCTTCTGCTTCGCGAGGGCTTTCGAGGTGGGTCTGCAAATCCCCCCAAATCCCCTCGAGGAGGATCGAAAAGGTCGCCAAATCGGGGTTAATTCGCGACGCCGAGGAGGCCGGAGCGCGGGCAACCCCTTCTCTCGACGAGCTCCGCACGATCGCGCGGTAAAACGTGAAGATCGACGCCGGATCGGGGGAGTACCGCGCGGCGTGCAGCACCGCATTGAGGAGAGCCGTCGTCATGGGAACGTTTTGCATGGTGGTGAGAACCGCCAACGCCTTCTCCGGTTGCCCGTTGCGAAGGAGGTGATGGAGGAGGGCGGCGTAGATCCCCGCGGAGGGCTGTCGTTCATGGCGGGAAAAGTAATCCGCCACGGCGGCGACGGCGAGATGCATCACCCCACACCCCCCACACACCGCGATGTACGAATTCATCGTGAACTCCGTCGGGGTGAGGTGGAAACGGGCGAGATCCATCATCAAGGCGTGCGCCTTGGCCTCCAACCGCACCGTTGAGAACGCCGGCGACGGGGAAAGGGAAGCCGTGGACGCCGAACGCGCGGCCGCGGCGGCGGGTCGCCGCCTCGCGACCCCCCCGCCCCATTGCCGCACCGCGTGCTCGAGAATCCCCATCAGGTGCTGAATGCACCCCGCGGTGGGGTTCGTGCCGCTGTCGATT